CCATTTCCCCCCTCACCTTCTCCCTGGGGGTTTTCTGTCCCTGGGGGCTCGGCCATGGGCACCAGGAATGTGGGCACAAGGAGGGAGAAGCCTTTTCCAGCACCTCTCTGAGGGGGTCCCGCTGGGGTGGGGAGAGGAGCCCCTTCCCCCCAAGGCCAAACTGGGGCACCCAGGGGTGCCAGGGGGGGGGAGGGGGTATGGCTGGTACCTGCCTGCAGGCGGAGGAGGCAATGCCAAGGTGGAGGGGACACGGGGTGGTCCCTGGTGAGTCCAAACCAGGCCAGGCCCCGCAGGAGCAGCGGGTCCACGTGCCGGGGGGGTATTAATAGCACACACCGTGCCAGGGCAGGGGGGGCACGCTCCCCCCGGGAAGGAGATGGGGCACTGCCCCCCTGCCTGGCATCTCTGCCTGCCCCCTGTGCCAGCCAGCCTCCTGCCACCAGCCCCCCTGCCCCACCGGGGGGGCACAGCCCCCTGCCAGCTGGAGAACCCACAGGGGGACGCAGCCAGAGCTCTGCCAGCCTGGGGGGCACGGGGACAGGGAGGGTTTGAGGACACCTGGGCCAGATTCTGCAGGTACCTGGTGCTGGGAGCCGTGCTGGGATGCTGGTGTTAGACTGGGATGCAGGTACCAGTACCAGGATGCAGGTTCTGTACTGGGATGCTGGGACCCAGACTGGGATGCAGGTGTTATACTGGGATCCTGAGACCCAGATTGGGATGCAGGTGTTATACTGGGATGCTGGGACCCAGACTGGGATGCAGGTGTTATACTGGGATGCTGGGACCCAGACTGGGATGCTGGGACCCATGCTGGGATGCAGGTGCTGTACTGGGATGCTGGGACCCAGATGAGTGAGATGCAGGTGTTATACTGGGATGCTGGGACCCAGACTGGGATGCTGGGACCCATGCTGGGATGCAGGTGTTATACTGGGGTGCTGGGACCCAGACTGGAAATCAAGTGTTATACTGGGATGCTGAAATCCAGATGGGGATGCTGGGACCCAGACTGGGATGCAGGTGCTGTACTGGGATGTGGATACCAGTACTGGGTTGTAGGACCGTACTGGGATGCAGGTACCAGTACCAGGATGCAGGTTCTGTACTGGGATGCTGGTACCCAGACTGGGATGCAGGTGTTAGACTGGGATGCTGGGACCCAGACTGGGATGCTGGGACCCATGCTGGGATGCAGGTGTTATACTGGGGTGCTGGGACCCAGACTGGAAATCAAGTGTTATACTGGGATGCTGAAATCCAGATGGGGATGCTGGGACCCAGACTGGGATGCAGGTGCTGTACTGGGATGTGGATACCAGTACTGGGTTGTAGGACCGTACTGGGATGCAGGTACCAGTACCAGGATGCAGGTTCTGTACTGGGATGCTGGTACCCAGACTGGGATGCAGGTGTTATACTGGGATGCTGGGACCCAGACTGGGATGCAGGTGTTATACTGGGATGCTGGGACCCATGCTGGGATGCTGGGATCCATACTGGGATGCAGGTGTTATACTGGGATGCTGGGACCCAGACTGGGATGCAGGTGTTAGGCTGGGATGCTGGGATCCATACTGGGATGCAGGTGTTAGGCTAGGATGCTGGGACCCATGCTGGGATGCTGGGATCCATACTGGGATGCAGGTGTTAGACTGGGATGCTGAGACCCAGACTGGAGTGCTGGGACCCATGCTGGGATGCTGGGACCCATACTGGGATGCTGGGATCCATACTGGGATGCAGGTGTTACACTGGAATGCTGGGACCCAGACTGGAGTGCTGGGACCCATGCTGGGATGCTGGGATCCATACTGGGATGCAGGTATTATATGGGGATGCTGGGACCCAGACTGGGATGCAGGTGCTGTACTGGGATGTGGATACCAGTACTGGGTTGTAGGACCGTACTGGGATGCAGGTACCAGTACCAGGATGCAGGTTCTGTACTGGGATGCTGGGACCCATACTGGGATGCAGGGACCCATGCTGGGATGCTGGGATCCATACTGGGATGCAGGGACCCATGCTGGGATGCTGGGATCCATACTGGGATGCAGGGACCCATGCTGGGATGCTGGGATCCATACTGGGATGCAGGGACCCATGCTGGGATGCTGGGATCCATACTGGGATGCAGGGACCCATGCTGGGATGCTGGGATCCATACTGGGATGCAGGGACCCATGCTGGGATGCTGGGATCCATACTGGGATGCAGGGACCCATGCTGGGATGCTGGGATCCATACTGGGATGCAGGGACCCATGCTGGGATGCTGGGATCCATACTGGGATGCAGGGACCCATGCTGGGATGCTGGGATCCATACTGGGATGCAGGGACCCATGCTGGGATGCTGGGATCCATACTGGGATGCAGGGACCCATGCTGGGATGCTGGGATCCATACTGGGATGCAGGGACCCATGCTGGGATGCTGGGATCCATACTGGGATGCAGGGACCCATGCTGGGATGCTGGGATCCATACTGGGATGCAGGGACCCATGCTGGGATGCTGGGACCCAGACTGGGATGCAGGTGTTATACTGGGATGATGGTACCCGTGCTGGGATGCAGCTGTTATACTGGGATGCTGGGACCCAGACTGGGATGCTGGGATCCATACTGGGATGCAGGTGTTAGACTGGGATGCTGAGACCCAGACTGGACTGGAAATCAAGTGTTATACTGGGATGCTGGAACGCAGATGGAGATGCTGGGACCCATACTGGGATGCAGGTGTTATACTGGGATGCTTGGACCCATGCTGGGATGCTGGGACCCATACTGGGATGCAGGTGTTATACTGGGATGCTGGTACCCAGACTGGGATGCAGGTTCTATCCTGGGATGCAGGTACCCAGACTGGCATGCTGGTATCCATACTGGGATGCAGATACCCATACTGGGTGGTAGGTACCCACACCAGGATGCAGGTAACATACCAGGATACAGATTCCTGTGGCAGGATGCAGGGGCTGTACTGGGATGTGGATACCAGTACTGGGTTGTAGGTCTGTACCGGGATGCAGGTACACATACTGGGATGCAGGTACACATACTGGGATGCAGGTACACATACTGGGATGCAGGTACACATACTGGGATGCAGGTACACATACTGGGATGCAGGTACACATACTGGGATGCAGGTACACATACTGGGATGCAGGTACACATACTGGGATGCAGGTACACATACTGGGATGTGGGTACCAGTACCAGGATGCAGATACCTATACTGGGATGCAGGTGCCGTACCAGGATGTGGAGACCAGGACCAGGATGCAGGTACCAGACTGGGATGCAGGTACTGTACTGGGATGCGGGTACCAGTACCAGGATGCAGGTACTGTACTGGGATGCGGGTACCAGTACCAGGATGCAGGTACTGTACTGGGATGCGGGTACCCATATAGGGATGTAGGTACCATGCCAGGATGTAAGTACCCTTACTGGGATGCTGGTGCCCATACTGGGATGCGGGTACCAGTACTGGGATGCAGATACTGTACTGGGATGCACATACCAGTACCAGGTGGCACATAGCTGTACTGAGATGCAGGTACCATACTGGGATGTAGGTACCCATACTGGGATGCACATAGCTGTACCAAGATGCAGGTACCCGTACTGGGATGTGGGTACCCATACTGGGATGTGGGTACCCATACTGGGATGCGGGTACCCATACTGGGATGCAGGTACCCATACTGGGATGCAGGTACCCATGTGGGTACCAGACTGGGGTGCTGATACTGTACCAGGATGCAGGTTCTGTACTGGGATGCAGGTGCCAAACTGGGATGCAAATACTGTTCTGGGATGCAGGTACTGTACTGGGATGTGGGTACCAGTACTGGGATGTGGGTAGCAGTACTGGGATGTGGGTACCAGTACCAGGATGCAGATACCTATACTGGGATGCAGGTGCCGTACCAGGATGTGGAGACCAGGACCAGGATGCAGGTACCAGACTGGGATGCAGGTACTGTACTGGGATGCGGGTACCAGTACCAGGATGCAGGTACTGTACTGGGATGCGGGTACCCCTATAGGGATGTAGGTACCATGCCAGGATGTAAGTACCCTTACTGGGATGCTGGTGCCCATACTGGGATGCGGGTACCAGTACTGGGATGCAGATACTGTACTGGGATGCACATACCAGTACCAGGTGGCACATAGCTGTACTGAGATGCAGGTACCATACTGGGATGTAGGTACCCATACTGGGATGCACATAGCTGTACCAAGATGCAGGTACCCGTACTGGGATGTGGGTACCCATACCGGGATGTGGGTACCCGTACTGGGATGTGAGTACCCGTACCGGGATGTGGGTACCCGTACTGGGATGTGGGTACCCGTACCGGGATGTGGGTACCCGTACTGGGATGTGAGTACCCGTACCGGGATGTGGGTACCCGTACTGGGATGTGAGTACCCGTACCGGGATGTGGGTACCCGTACTGGGATGTGAGTACCCGTACCGGGATGCGGGTACCCATACTGGGATGTGGGTACCCATACTGGGATGCA